GCCGCTGGTGCTGGGGGCTGAGGAGTCTGGGGGTTGGCTGGCGCCAGGGGCACTGGGCTGGCTGAGGTGGGGTGGTGATTGCCAGGGACAGCCCACCTGGCTGCGAGGTGGCCGCCCCATGTGCAGAGTGGCCACCCCCCACCTCCCATCCTGGCAGGGGGCCTTTCTCTGTGTTGTCCCATGCTGGCCACAGCTGCGCTTCTGCGGGGCACCACTTCTCTCCGGGCCCCGTAGAAGGGGCACCCGCTGGCCCAGCAGCGCCCAGGCCCTCCATGCTGCTGTCTGCCAGCAGCAGGTCCAGCATCTGCTCCAGCGGGGCCGAGTCCCCAAACTCCTCACTCTCACTCAAGGGCTCCAAGGCCGCCACGTCCAGCTCGTACGGGTCCCTGCAACCTCCTCTCCCTTCTGAGGGCCCCTGTTCTACTGTCGCCAGCTCAGGCAGCAGCGAGGGCTCCAGCCTTCCAGCCGGCCGCTCGGCGGAACCAGCTGCCTGCATCCCCGTGAAGTTGTGGGGGGAAGCCGCACAGCAAGTGCCTGTCTCCCCCGTGGTCACTGAGGCAGCCTGGGGCTCTCTGGCTGGCGGGTCTTGTACCACCTCCCAGCAGCTCCCATTAACCACCTTTCTGAGCTTCACACGCCCCACGTGCCCCTCCTCGGGGGCCGTGTCCGAGCCAGAAGCGGAGGCGCTGGAGCTGCGCTTCCTGTGGCTGCTCTTCGGAGGCACAGGGGGGCTCCCAGCACAGCAAGAGGGGCTGGCCTGCTCTGCCCCACCTGCTTCGTCCCCGCCTGGTGCCTTCTGCCGCCAGAGGCGCCGGATGGAGGTGGGTGGGTTGCCGGGGGCTGCCGGGAGGGGTGCCGTTGGGGCACAGGTCTTGGAGGGAGGGGGCAGTTTCAGGCGGCTGAGCTTGATCTTCCTGGGTAGCGGCGAGCAGTCTGTGGTGGCCCCCTCGCTGGGCAAGGCCTGCTCTGCACGCCTCTCGCCCTGCGCCCCTTCAGCCTCGCCCAGGGTGCTCCCCACGCCAAGGCTCCTGACGAAAGCCAGGGGGTGGCTCTTGGGTCTCACATTCCCCGTCTCCACTGGCAGCGCTGGAGCATCCGCATCCTGCAGCTGGGCCTCCCCGTTCTGAGCTACGGCAGCCCCCTTGCGCTTGGTGCTCTCCGCTTGACCGGCGCTGGTGCCCCCCCCCGTATGCTGCTTGCCTGCCACCAGGGGGAGGAATGTCTGTGGGGCACTGGGAGCCGGGGAGCAGGCCTGTGGCATGACCCTGGCAGAGATCGGAGCCGGGCTGGGCGACTGCAGGCACTTCCGATTCAAGCGCCGACCCAGCACCTGTTTCACCAGCTTCCCGCCCTCCAGCTGCAGCGACTCCAGTTCCGCCACCTGGAATTGCCGGGCAGCAGCCAGGACATCCAGGGCCTCTTCCCGGGACACTTCCATCTCCGAGGTGTAGAGGAAGTCCACCAGCTTCCGCAGCGTCCCGATCTTTAGCCCCCGCAGCTCCAGCACCACTTTACACCCCTTGGAGGGCGTCTGGCGCTCCAGGCGCTCCATGAAGAAGGGGCTGCAGGCGGAGAGGATGCAGCAGTGAGCGGGGACAGCCTCTCCTGCAAACAAAGGAGCGGGCGGTGAGGGTCGTGGGTTAGCTGTGCTCTGCTACTGCCTTAGCCACTCCTGCACTTCGGCAATGGATGCTTTACAAGGTTGTGGGTGGGCCTGCCCTGTGTGGCTCCAGTCCCTGCATATGCATCCATTGAAGAGCCCCTGGCTGTGTCTAGACTGGCCAGTTTTTCCAGAAAATCAGCCACTTTTCCGGAAAAACTTGCCAGCTTTCTACACTGGCCACTTGAATTTCCGCAAAAGCACCGGCTTCCTACTGTCTGAAATCAGTGCTTCTTGCGGAAATACTATGCTGCTCCCGTTCGGGCAAAAGTCCCTTTTGCGCAAAAGGGCCAGTGTAGACAGCTGAGATTTGTTTTGCGCAAAAGTGCGTCTAGATTGGCCACAGACGCTTTTCCGCAAAAAGTGGTTTTGCAGAAACGCGTCCGTGCCAATCTAGATGCTCTTTTCCGTTAAAAGCATTTCCGGAAAATCGTGCCAGTGTAGACGTAAGCCCCTCTGTGTGGCCCAGCTTATGATAAATAAATCTCTCTTATACAACAGGGCAGCTCGAACTGTCACTACCCCAAAACCGTCATTCTTCACGTTAGCAGTATCGCCAACACGGGCCATGGGTGACTAGCAATGGGGAAACCGTAGCCCCAGCAGGCGGCGCGTAGCCCCAGCAGGCGGCGCGTAGCCCCAGCAGGCGGCGCGTAGCCCCAGCAGGCGGCGCGTAGCCCCAGCAGGCGGCGCGTAGCCCCAGCAGGCGGCGCGTAGCCCCAGCAGGCGGCGCGTAGCCCCAGCAGGCGGCGCGTAGCCCCAACCTTCCCTGGGCCCAGCACTGGGAAGAAGGGCAGGTGGCACATGGCCTCAGCCTTTCCTGGCCCTGGCGGGAACATGGGAAGGACAGGCAGTGCATGGCCCCAGCCTCTCCCTGAGCATAGGGAGGGCAGCCCCCAGCCCTGAAGGGCACGCTGTGGGTGCGCAGCACAGCCCCAAGCCTCGGCAGGGCTGAAACCCGGACAGCTCTTTGGGGGAGGGGGATGTGGGCAGGGCCAGGAAGCATTGCCTTCCCCTGCCTCTTATACCCTCCGCCCATGACCACCAGCCGCCAAAAGTTCAAATCCCCACCCCAAAAGTCCTGAGCTCGGCTTTAAACCATTATTGTAAAAGCTACTACATCTGGGGTTCTTTTTATTTGCTGTCTGATTTCAGAACCTTTCAGGGGTCTTTGCTTCCCATTTTCAAGCTTTCCTCCACAAGCACCTGGAAAGCTAGCAACACGCTCTCCTCCCCCCTCCCCTTTTAAATGAAAATGGAGATTCTCTAACAGTCTTCCAATTCCTGCAGCTGGGCTGTACGAAAAACACCAAATATTGCAACAGGGGATAAAAAAAAAAAAAAGATCACAGGAACTGCAACACTGCGCTATGGTTCCCGAGGCAGCTCTAACTTGGTCTCCTTTATCCTGGGATTCATTTTCATTTTTGTCTGCAGAAAGGTCATATCTCCATGACCCTCTCTCCAGCCTTTCCTCTCCTCCCCTGGCAAAAGAATGCCGCTCCTTGAGATACTTCTTAGCCGCAAAGACAGAACTCCCATTTAATATTAGAGGGAGGGTAACACAAGCGGATGCTTTTACATCTGACGTTCCAGCCACAGCACCAATTAACAGCAGCCAATTAAAACACCCCAAAAAAACAACCCCACCCTAAATAAAATTAAACTGTCTGCTTCCTTTAAAAAAAAACAAGATTTCCCCTCTTCCCCCCTTCTATCCCATGGCACCTGGTCCCTGAAGAGAAACTACGCAAGGGAGGCAACATGAAGGTGGGGTTCCGGGGTGAGCGTGTACAAGCTACTGCGGTGGCCTGGGTGCGGTGACTCTGCCCAGACCCACCAGGCTGGAAAGCATATGCAATCCCAAGATTTGGGCCCCCAATCCAGAAGTCTGGTAAACATCCACAAGGCGCAGACTCTGCCCGACGTGTGGCACCTCACTGCGCTGGGCAAGGATTTTACTGAGTATGTCTCCACTTTACTGGGTGCACCTCCTGCTGCCTTGAACCCAGCCAGCACCCACAACCCTACTTCCCCCGGGCACTGCTACCTCGGAGCAGCGTGGAATATTGTGGGGATGGCCACCGCGGCTGCTCCCATCTCCAAACCCTCCCCTGCAGAAGGGGCTGAGAAGAACAGGGGAAAGCGAGTGGCCAGATATTTCAGATTTCAACCAACCTTCAAGAAGAGATTTTATTTTTCATTTCCCCTCTCACAAGCCACCCGAGGAAGCAGACACTGAGCACTGGCACATCAAGGCAAAGGCTATTTCTGCCAGAGGTTGACAGGCACGTCTCTAGCTGCAGAACAGCTGGTGTGCGCGTCTCTGCAGTTCCACCTTGACACAGCCAAGGCTAACAACCACCAAGGAATAAAAGCTGCCTTACCGACAGAAACGAGCAAGAAACAGTCTGCGCAAACCAGCAACATGCACGGCCACGTCCCCCAAACACACCCTCCCGCACCCGTAACTCGAGCCCTCCCTGGGTCTTGCTTCACCCTCTATGCACGCCACCTACACAAAGTCAGATTCTGAAACACGAGGCGTCAGAGCTGTGGGGCCAGGGAAGTATACGGAAAACCTGCTCATCTGAAGTAGGGATGAGACCTATAAGCAAAAGCTTATAGGTTAATGCTATAGACTACATGCATTTCCCACCACCCTTTGCCAGTACATTTTTTAGCAGGCTGGCCAGCAGCCCAGCTCAGTCCCGACTTGCACTGAGTCCTGGACCTACCCCACTGCGGCTCTGCATTTAAAGCATATTAGGAGCTGGGCTGGCTGGCAGGCAGCCCGGCCCAGTTCCGGCTTGCACCAGGTCCGGGAGTTCAGACCACTTCCTTGATAGGGGCTGCTGCCACCCCGGGCTGCTTCCTTTTTAATCAGAGGCAGCAGCACAGCACGACAGGTAGCCAGTCTACAAGGGGAGCTGGATTTTAAACTGGCTCCCCTCATAGACCAGCTTCCACCTGGAACCTGATACAGAGGCAGCAGTGCGGAGTAGCAGGGGTCTTCTCAGAAGTGAGGCCGGAGCGCACTGGCTGCTGGCCCCACCTCCAGAGAGTATAGAATAAGAATAAGAACCAATAAGAATTCAAGAGGTTACTCGACTATTCAATTAACCGATATTTAACATCCCTAATTCGAAGGTTACCACACCCCAGGATGCTGCTTCTTAAAGGCAAAGAGTTCACCTAGTGAATATTAAAAGAATAAACTTTGTAGCACAGTAGAGACCTTGCTTACAGACAGCAGTGAAAGTAACTTAACATTTCTTACAGGTACCATCCTCCTGCAACCGGGTCCCTGCCAGCTCTTGCCGGAGCTGCACACCAGGGTGCACCCACTTTCACCTCTGCTTGCAGATACAAGCAGACAGGAGGCTGTAACTGGAAACTTTCCCTCACCCAATTAAAGCTTCAACGGAACAAGACGACACTTACAAAATATTAAGTGAGACAGTGCCCCTCCCCCCACCATGCAAAACAAATCAGGAAGCTTCATGATTAGTTTGATTAATGAGTCAGACACTTTCACAGACCAAAATATGCTCCAGTTGTCATCTGAATATGAAGCAGCTGAGGGCAAAAGTTCATGTAAAATGGTCTCGCAGTGCTCCAAACAAGGATGTACACTGAATTTCCATATGTCTGCTGACACATATCTGGCGCCATGTAGGGAGGCTGCTATTTGCAAAACCTCTTTGGAATCACTTCCACTTTTGTGCAGACCTTTTTCTACTTGTGATTCTCCTCCCCTCCCCCCAATCAAGTTTATCACACAAGGCCCCACGAGCATGACTGTCCCCAGCGATACAACAGCCACTGCAAATAGCAAAGCTAAGGGTTGAGCACGTGTATAGTGCCCTATATGTTAACATGTAACCACATACTGATGTGCAATTAGTATCCTACGGAACCGTGCCTCAAAGCACATCGGTAAGCGCACAGGCAAAGTGACAATCCAGCCCCAGGCACAAGAAAGGTGGGTACCAACCCGCTGCCCGCGTTCAGGTTACCTTCTGCCTGCAGGATGACATCACAGAACACATCTGCCCTCTGCTGCCGATGGAGCTGCAGGAAGGCCATGCGCAGGAGGCGGGAATTCCGATAGAGAATCTTAGAGCCAGCCACAGGGGAGCACATGTCAGCAGAGCTGCCCAGCCACCAGAAGCCCTGCAAAGGGAACACAGTCCTGGGAGCGGAGTAGGCCCTATCTAGCAGCGCTCCCTTTGGTGGATTCAGTATGCCTACAAGTCAAGGGTTCACTTCCTGGCTCCAGTCTATGCAAGCTTCTGCCAAGCCATCTGCCCTGAAAGGACAGTGACTGTTGTAAGTTATGTTAAAAAGTCTCAGAGGGGTCGTCGTGTTAGTCTGCAGCTTTAAAAACAACAAGGAGTCCTGTGGCATCTCAGAGACTAACAAATAAGGAGCTGCAAGACTGCTCGTTGTTATAAGCCATTTTTATTCCTGGCTCAATGATAAATTGGGGAGGAATCTGTAAAGAGCCACATGGGTGATTAGGGGACTGGAAAAATACACCTTAGAGTGAGTAACTCAAGGAGCAAACCCAAATTATCTCAACAAAGAGACAATTAAAGGGTGGTTTGATCACAGGCTATAAGGACTACCTGGGGACCAAAAGTTTGATAACTGAAGGCTCTTCAGACCAAGATCGACTAAGTCCCAACGGCTGGAAATTGATGCTAAACAAATTCAGGCTGTAAATAAGTTGGAAGTTTTTAACAGTGAGGGTAATTCACCACTGAAACAACTTATTAACTAACCCTTGTAATGGATTCTCTATTGCTAGCAATTTTTCATTCCAGATTGGGGATGTAAAATCCCATTTAACCAGTAAAACATTACGTTTAACCAGTTAACTGATCCAGCAGGCGGGAGGCCGCTCCAGCCCAGCTGAGCCCCCAACTAACCGGTAAGCATTGCCCGCTAAGATGACATCCCTACTCCAGGTGGAATGGTCTTCTAAAAGATCTGTTCCAGTTCAAACAGGAATTAATTCAGGGAAGCCACTTTCCCTGAGGCAGTGTTATGGATAGACTGAACTAGCAGGGGGCACAAACTCTCACAGAAAAGCATTCCATTGAATGGTACTTAAATAAGGTATTTTTTCCATAATTCAATACACAGCCTGTCACCTCCGGGTCACTGGATCCCACCAGAGGATTAGGAAAAGGGGGCAGGGATTCAGTCTCCAAGGGGCACTGGTTCCGATTGGGCTCTGGGGGACTGCCACATGGAGTCTCTCACCCCACCCCCCTCAGCTGAAGAAGTGGATGGCGTGGCTTGGCCAAGTAGCAAATGGGAGACAGGCTCCTCTCTAGAGCAGACTCCAAACCGGCCCCAGGTTGGGGCAGGGAATGGCTGGCTCCGGGGCATCAGCAAATGGGACAGGGAGAATGGCTCCATCATGGCCATGCTCAGTGAGACTGGCAAGTAGGATACGGACCTCGCCCCCTACGGCCTCATCAGCACTCGGAACTGCAGGCAATTTGCCCAACATCTACCACCACCACAGCTTTGCCGGCACTAGCAGTGGTGGGAACACTCACGTCAGCCAGCCACCATCGTGACTCCTTTCTGAGCTAAGAGAGATGTCTCAGGGGTAAATACACCTGCAGCCAGTCTACAATACTGCTCCCGCTGCTTGACCACCTATGCAAATACAGCATGAGTTCCAGGCACCATAAGGAGCCGGCATGGGGCTGCCCCTGGACTTTACTTTCCCAGGCTGCCAAATTCTCACCAGCGGTGCTGTCACAGTAAGTCTTTGGCTACCATGTGCCCTATTAACAGCCACGGACACAGCTGCACCAGTTCAAACCCCTCTCTAGAGCACAAAGCCGGCCCAGCAGTTTGGGTGCTTATCTGGGATGGAGGCAACCTAGGTTCAATCCCCTGCTTGGCCACAGACACTTGGTATGACCTTGGGTACATCACTTAGCCTCAGTTCCCCTACAAACAATGGGGATAATCGCACTGCCCTGCTTGACAGGGGTGTTGTGGGAATAAATACATTAAGGGTACTTAGCTATTACAGCAACAGAGGCTGTGTAATGAACCATGGCACTGACTACGAGATTGTTTTCTGCTGTATCCTAAGGCATGGATTTAAGCCAGAGAGTTACACCAATTATATAATTACAACCACTGTTCTCTGTAAACTGAGCTCTTGGGTGGCCACCCAGGAGAGATTCAAATGTCACCCAGCTGATTAACAGAGTGCCCACAGGTGGCAGTAGGGATGCAAAATCCTGTTTAAAATGTTAATGGGTTAACCTATATGTTTAACTGGTTAACCAACCCATTGCACTGAGGCAGGGGAGGCTGCTGGAGCAGCACCTACCTGCAGTGTGGCGCAGTGGGCCCCGAGCAGCCGCAGTGAGGAGCTGCTCTCACTTTGCCAGGCACTGGTTAACCGTCTACCCATTTACATCCCTAGCGGGCAGCATGTGTTTCTACTGGTTGTGCGCATCCACACATACCTCAGTGCACATAATAAAATTTATTCTGCACACAGATGGAGAAAATTAGAGGAAACATTGATTAAAACTGATGCACATGTTGGCAGTTTAAGGGCTGCTCTGTAGTTTTTATACCTCAGTTGTGATTTTTTCTTAACTGGAATAGTTATACTGAGAGAATCCCTAGCACAGGATGCAGTTTTCCCTGTATAGCTTATTCCCTTTTTATACTGGTATAATAGTAGGTAGCTCTCATGCATCACTTTACATCAGATCTCAAAGGAGGTCAGCATCATTATCCCAATTTTACAGATGGGACTGAGGCACAGAGGGATGAAGTGACTTGACCAGGATCACCTAGCATGTTAGTGACAGAGCAGGGAACAGAACCCAGGTTTTTCCCCGGCCAATGCTCTGTCCACTAGGCATAAATGCACCAACACAAGGGGCCTATATCACTTGAACTATACCAGTGCTGTTAAACTGATACCAGAATAAACCATTGTTCACACACAAATGTGAGAGAGGGGCCTTTGTTCAGTGCAGCTTATGTTGCTTGAGAAAGTGTTTATACTAAACCAAAAAAAACTCCAACCTCTTACTTTTGAGTCTACACAGGGTACGTATCAATATAACAATAATACTGTCCCACACAGACAAGAATCAATTCTGTAGGCAGGGGCAAACCACTATAAGCATCAATTTTTCCTGGTTCAGCTTTCCCTGGTTTCAGAACAAGGATATAAGCTCAACCCGCACAAACTGTCTATCCTTAGAACTCTCTCAGCCCCATCCAAGTAATATCTGATTGCTTCATAAGCTTCACTGTATTTAGCCTCCCAGTACACCTGTGAGGTTATCCCATTGTAAAGATGGTAAACTGAGGCACAAAGAAGCAGAGGCAACACCTAAAACTTAAATCAACCTTGCTATGACACTCAGAGGTATAAAAAGTTCATACCCCCTGAGATGCAGTTAAGCCAGTCTAGGAATTTTTTCATCCACCTAGCCTCCTCTTGAGTTGGTGGATTTATTATAGTGACCAAAACAATACAAAAAACCCTTCCGTTGCTGAAGTAAGCAGCTACACTAAAGCTCTGCTGCAGTTGCACTTGTTGCATAGACACAGCCCTAAGTCACTTGTTCAAGGTCAAACAGGGAGTTTGTGGCTGAGTAGGTAATTCAACCTTGGTGAATCCCAGTGCCCTAACCTCTGGAGCATGCTTCCTCTCATGGCTTTATCACTGCAGCTACCCCCTTGCCTGTAATTAAAACAAGCCTCTAACTCAGACAACTCCCTAAGCTCCCCTCACATTTCACTGTCACACACTTTCAGCACTGAGGTAAGACACTGGCTTGTTACCACCAGTCCTTGCTTGTTTCCTTTTAGGAATACATTGCCCCACCTAGATCCCCATCCTGTTTCCCCCTCCCCAAAGAAGGGAGCAACAGCAATGAGATACCTGTTTAGATTAATGGAATGTGCACAGGGATGTTGGAAACATGAGAGCTGCCAAACACGAGGAACCTTAAGAGCCACCAAGGCCTGGTAGCAGCATTGAGGATGGGAGTCAGCCACACATGGAACAGGTGCTGTCAAGACACAGATAAAGAAAACAGGATACTTCAGCACAAGAGGTAAAAAGGAGCCTGACCTTCTTCTGGCTACAGACACACCCTCACTCCTCAAACACACCCCACATAGCTCAGAGTTGCAACCCATGCAAGAGGCTTCCCTTCACAACCACCCCACTACTCCAAAAAGATCCATATTCCTGCTCCATCCCAGTACACCACCCAAATCCTGCACAGAAACTGCCCTCTTCATTATTGCCCCCGCGCTAAGGGGGCTCTCAAACTTCCCCCATAGGAAGTGGGTTTTCCTTTCCCTCCCATACACGCTAAGGGGGGGGGGGGTGAGTCTCCCCACCACCACTAATCGGGAGCCTCCATTTCCCTCCCCCACCCCGACTGAGGCATGCTCTATTGTCCGCCCTCTGAACTGTGGTCCGAGGACACCCACCAACTCCCCCTTGCTGCAGCACCCCTTTGCTGCAAACTCCAGCTCGTGCAACACAGCGCGAGCCCTACCCTAGCGCCTGCACGCGCCACGCCTCAGACGGCGCCTTCCCCGGGAAAGGGGCGTGGCTCCTTCGCCCCGCGGAGCTCAACAACAGCCCTTTCATTGGTCAGACCCTCCGGCCAATCAGAGCCAAGGGGGTATTTTGGCGGGAGGATTCGAAGGGAACCGTTGTCCCTGAGGAAAATGACGGTTGGGGGGGGAGGAGTGGAGGAGTTTGCTGGGTCTCAGCCCAGGGGGCCAGCGAGCTCCAGGCTCCCTAGAGCCCAGCCCCTGGCCAATCAGTGTCCACCTTGGCCATGTGTCCCCAGCCCCCTAAAGCCATAAAGGGGGACTCCCTGACAGCCCCCACCCCACAGAGCTTGGGGTGTTTCTCTTAAAGATCCAGCTCCTGGAGTCCCATGATTTTTGCAAGACTCCCTATTTGCATGTCATGCCCAGCCCTTACAGTTGTGCACACTCAAAGTTGTGACCCCCGCCCCACCCCTGGTCTCAGACACCTGAAAGCAGGGGAAACAAACTGAACTGGGTGGATTTGAACCCAACAACTCAGGATTTTTAGGCCAGTCTCAGGATTTGGGAGACCTGGATTCATGTCGTTTGGACAGTCGAGGCTTATGATGCTGCGGACCCAAAGCCCAATCATTGATTCTGGCTGGTCAGCACCCAATCTGGTCATCCCCACCGTGTCAATAGCACAATTAAGCACATGGAGAATTCCCTGCCCCTGTCCCAAAATCTGATTGCTGGGCATATTATGTCAGTGCCCATGCCCAGGGAGCACACTTTCCCCCTTCCAGACCCGCAGTCCCACGACTTAATGCGCATGGCTCTTTGAGACTCTGAGAGGAAGGATCAGAAGCAATGTTCCATCTAAATTTTTCTATACAGGTGCGGAATAAATGATGTGTGCACTCAGTCATGTGTGGACGTGCACCACCAGTAAGCACACATGCCAACTGTGGGAGCAGTGGGCACTCTGTTAATCAGCTGGGCAGCATTTTAATCTCAACTGGGTGGCCCAAGCGCTCAGCTTATAAGGAACTCTGGGCAGGAGTCTCAAGATGGGTCCTCCCGCTGCCTGACTTTGGGCTAATTTCTCACTCCATGGCAAGAAGAAGGAAACATGGCTTTAAGTTTAAACCGCATTTGCACCTTCCAGAATTCTGGGCCGCTTAAGCCCCCAAAATAAATTATAGCAGCTTTGGGGCTGCCCTGATTCACAGGTCAAGCTACCCTTTATCTCCTAGGAGCTGTGAATAGGGTTGCCAGATGGTTTCAACAAAAATACCGGACACACTTGACATTACATCACAATCTACATTGCATCTTATTTGGAAAATACTGGACATTTATATTTTCTCAATTTGTTTCCCATACTGAAAGCTCAAATACTGGACTGTCGGGTTCAAAACTGGACACCTGGCAACCCTAGCTGTGAACAGCTGAGAATAATGATACACAACCCAGCACATCACCTATAGTTTCTGGCATAAGGCCATTCCACAAGCTATATATATCAACCCTTTATTCTGGGGTTATTTTCACCTATAAGGCAACAATTATAATGTAATCACAAATTAAGTGAGATTGGATAGTTCTAAGGCAGGGGAGGTCAGGGTAGTATTAAGGGTTACCTAGTGGTTAGAACACTGAACTAGGACTCTGAAGACCTCAATCCTATTTCTGGCTCTGGTGTTAACTTGCTGGGTGACTATGGGCAACTTCCCCTCAGTTTCCCCATTTGTAAAATGGAAATAAAAGTATTACCCTTCTTTGTAAAGCAATTTGAGATTGATTCATGACAAGCACTGCAGAAGAGCCCTCATACATTAACTGTTATCATTTCACCCCTAGGGCACCAGTTCCAGTCTGTCCCAGATTGACATATCAGCAGGATTTAGCCTCCTAAATGACTTCAGAAACTCTTGAAAGTAGGAATTAGACTCCTAAATCACTTAGGGCATGTCTACACTAAGACATTATTTCAAAATAATAACTCCCAAAATAACTACTTTGAAATAGTATGTCCACACTACAGGGAAGCCTTGAAATTAGTCCAAGGCAGGCTCCGTTAATGTGGATGCACTACCTCTACTTAGAGCCCCAGGAAGCATTGCAGAGTAATTACTTTCATTAATTCTGGGAGTAGATATTTTGAAAAGTGGAGTATCCACACTACTGCTACTTTGAAATAACTGTTTCAAAATAAACATTATTCCTCATGGAAAGCAGGAGTTATTTTGAAATAATCAGTCCCTTATTTTGAATTAACGGGCTTGGCAGTGAGGACTCTCCGCTTGTTATTTCAAAATAAGGGGAGTTCTTTAAAAAGAACTCCCTAGTGTAGACCAGGGCTTTGGCACCTTCAAAGATATTACTCTAAAGCCTGGTCTAAACTCCGAAAATCCTGTCCCCAGATGCTCTGATTGCAGTGGAAAGGCTGGGGTGGAAACTTTTGGGTAGGATACTTGGAAGTGAAACGTCTAAGACATTACAGCTGCTCAAACCCTTCATTTTCTTTATAAAAAATCAGCAAGATTGGCAAGAACAGCAGAGGAGACCAAGAATGAAGGAAAGGAATGAAGGAGAAAAGAAGACAGAAAACCCACAATGAGGGCAGGGAAGACAGAGCCAAAACAGGAAAAAAGCAAGAAAAAAGGTAGGAATTGGCGCATGAAGGTAAGAGACCACAAAAAAGTACTCACTGCACAGGATGGGATGAACAATATGCTAACACTCCGGGACTGTACAAGGTGAGCTAGAGCAGTGGTTCTCAATCTTTTTTTATAAAGTACCCCTTTAAAAAAATTATAAGTACCCCCAGTACTTACAGTTTTCAGACTCAGAAAATTTTTTTCTACCATTGCAACACATTTGTTTAAACAATTTAATCGTAGCTGGGCGGGCGATGAAAGTTTTGCATGTAAAAAGTACAAAAATAATAAAACACTATAAAACTTAAAACAAAAATACAGTTTTCTCCAAGTTTCAGTTGTGTTGACGTACCCTCCAGACTTCTTTCGAGTACCCCTAAGGGTACTCGTACCATGGGTTGAGAAACACTGAGCTAGAGGGTCAGTATAGAACACAGAGGAAAAAGGCACAGGGGTATCAAGATTTATTATTCTAAACACATGGTTCTCTTTATTTCAGAGAATGGGATGCAGAGCATTTCTAACCTAGGCCCCTGTCAAGATCTGGAACAGACTTTGGGAAAAGAGACTTTTTAAAACTGAGTTAGCTAAGGCCCTGTTTATACAGTGAAGTTGCACAGATTTAGTTTTATCTATTTTAGTCAATAACTTACCAATTTAAGCTAAATTGATACAAGTCATTCCTAAACAGAACTGATGTTTAGGATGTAGGTGTAGATGCAGGTAGATCATTGGAAAAATGTCTCCATTGACCTAGCTATCATCACTCAGGATATTGGTGCTACTACCACAATGGAAGAACACCTTTCATTGTTGTAGGCTCCATCTACAATACAGGTTTATCCTGGCATAGCTACATTGCTATTGCCTTACTGTTTGCTATGGTCCAAATAGTGTAGACATAGCATAGGTTGCAAATGAACCAGACAACACAATTTTAAAGATGTTAACTTGTTTCTACAGCAGTGTTAAGGGGGCTTTCTGATTGTATTATGTTAATTTATTAACTTGATTGGCCTAACATAATCCCTAAGAGGTCTGTCTCTTTTTCTCATTGGAAAAGCTTATATGGCTAATCAGGCCAAAACAATATGATTTACTTTGATTTCTCTAATTCCTAGCAGAGCTGTTATCATGCCACAAATACCACAATGATAAATTAATTTTGCCCCTTTGCCTCAAGAGGGCAAAGTCTGAATGGGCCATGAAAACTCAGGGCAGGATTGATGAATATTGCCTGAGAAGTAATACAGTAGTGTGTGTGCTCTTGGGTATGCGTACATGTATAGCATATATGTATTTGTGAAACTTGAATGGCTATTGCCTTTATTGTATCTACCATTTGAGGGTGAGAAGTTGTTTTCAGCTAAAACCAATGAGGTCCTTCACTCCATGAAGGATTCCCAGGTGACACTCCACTCTCTTGTAGCCATACACCTGCAACCAGGAGGCAACAGTATATATACAAACCTTATCCAAGACCAAGGTATCCTGCTTACACTTATCAGCATCAGAGACACAACCACCAACCACAACAACGCAGTCATGGCAGGCAACAGGGCAGATGTAATCAGAACAGCGTTACCAATCCACCACAGCAAAAAAATAAGCAAATTTGGGGTGTTGGTCAAGAGACCGAAAATGATTCCATCCATTTCAGAGTTGCCAATAAACAATAAGCCATTCACCCATCACCTTCTACCCTTTCATACCAACTGGCAGAGCATAACATCTGATAAATGGGTGCTACAAACAATCCTCTCAGGATACACCATTCCTTTTTCGCTCCATCCCTCCCTCTCATCCTCCTACTCGATCCCTCTTCAACGATCACTCTCACAAGGCCATGTTAAGACAGGAGTTTGATCATCTCCTCCAACTTGGTGCTATAGAAGAGGTCCCACATGAGTATCGAGGGAGTGAGTGGTTTTTACTCACACTATTTCCTCACACAGAAAAAGAATGGAGGATGGTGCCAAATTTTGGATCTCAGAGCCCTCAACAAATTTGTAAAGAGGCAAAAATTTAAGGTGGTAACACTGTCTACCATTATTCCCTCTTCAAAGGTGGACCTTGGTTTTCGTTTCTCGCCTTACAGGATGCCTACTATTCATCCTACTCAAAGGCATTTTCTCTGCTTCCCCATAAGTAGCCAACACTACCAGTATACTGGCCTACCTTTTGGACTCTATACAGCACCAAAAGTTTTTTCCAAGATACTTGCAGTGATCACTGTCCACCTGAGGAAACAAGACCTCATTATCTACCCTTATCTTGACGATTGCCTCATCAAGGTAAGAACCTAGCACGAGTCTCATTGAAGTACTTACCTTGTCAGGACATGCTTCCACTCCCTGGGTCTCTTAATAAATGAGACAAAATTGTTGCTCACACCAACGCAATCCATACAATTCATCGGAGCACAGCTCAATGTGACAATTGCACTAGCCTCCCTGAGGCAAGACAGGTTCTTAAAGATGTGTGACTTAGTTCTCAAACTGCACCTAATGCCACAAGTCACAGTGCATGACTGTTGTCAGCTGCTCGGGCACATGGCATCATGCAACTCGGTAGTTCCAAATGCATGTCTCTTTGTGCAATGCCATCAGGGCTGGCTCAGGACAGTTTACAAGCCAAACCTTCACCCTCTCACCAAAATCGGGTCCATTTCTCCAACAGTAAGAAGTACAATATTATGGTAGACAAAAACAAAAAACTTATGCATAGGTATCCCTTTCCAAACACCAGAACCCGTTGCAGTCATCACCACAGATGCCTCCCTCACGGGATGGGGGGCACACAGGAGGGTCTCCACAACTCAGGATCTATGGACACCCACAGAGTGGGCTTTCCACATCAATGTCCTCGAGCTCAGAGCTGAACGCCTTGCCTGCCAACATTTCTTACCAGCAATATCTGGAAAACATGTCAGACTATATACCAACAACATTGCCAGCATGTTTTACATAAACAGGTAAGGTGGTGCCCGTTCCCATGCCTTATGTACAGAGACTATTGCCTTGTGGAACTGGTGCTTCACTCACGCTATCACTATAAGTGCATATCACCTTCCTGGTGCCTTAAACACCACCACTGATGCACTAAGCAGAAGCCTATCTCAGGATCATGAACGGCAGATAGATCACTGAGTTCTCTCAACAATCTTTGCACCATGAGGACACTCTCTGATAGACCTTTTCACTACAAAGGCAAACAAAAAGTGTCCCCTGTACTGTTCCATAGCCAGTATCGGCAAGGGCTTCCTCAGAGATGCCCTCATTCTCAAGTGGAACCATTGCCTATTACTGGACTACTCAACATGTTCCACAACCCCTTTGCATGTGGCCCGCAGCTCCTTGAGCAACTTCCCAGGCCACCTGCCGGCCTCATCACTGGGACTCCAGAGGCAGCTTCCCTGCTGTAACCCAGTGCCCCTGCCCTCCACCAGAACCAGTCACCCTACATCCCTCCCTGCTCTAACCCAATGTCCCCCCCCCCCAGAGCCAGGCGCCCCCAGCCTTCCTACTCTATCTCAATGCCCTTTCCCTCCTGGACATGAATCTAGTGGGGCAGAGGGTAATCCCTGTGTCTCACGAGAGCCATGTGCTTTTCCCTCCAGGCCCTGGGGCCCGTGTACAGAGTGGCCATGAACGGTCTGGGTGCGCAGTTCCTAAAGTTCCATTGAAGGCACATGCTGCCATCCCCTTGGCAGTGGCAGAGCATACCTGCCACATCTGCCACAGCCACAGGGCCTGTCCAAGTCAGGCCACGTTGGCACATGTGCAGGAACTACCAGGGATTGCAAGAGGCACGTGGCAAGGCAGTGGCAGAGCTGGGCAGTGTGAGAGCGAGGTGGTGGTAGAGCCAGGCAGCGAGGCTGCGGTGAGAAAGGTCTGCGCTGGGGCTTGGGTCGGGTTACCATACGTCCTGTTTATCCCGGACATGTCCTTGTTTTCACTTGTCAAATCGCCATCCGGACAGGTCTTTTAAATGGCAAAAAATGTCTGGGATTTTTTGCCCTGCAAATGGAATGGGGGGGAGGGGTGGCACGTGCCTTCAATGGCACATTCAGAGCCACACGCCCAGACCATTCATGGCCGCTCTGTGCATGGGCCCCAGTGCCTCGAGGGAAAAGCGCATGGCTCTAATGAGACCCAGGGGACTTTAACAGGGTTCAAAAAAAGAGCTAGATAGATTCATGGAGGCTGGGGGTACCTGGCTCTGGGGGAGGGGTGGGTGCATTGGATTGGAGCGGGAGGGATGCAGGGTGACTGGTTCTGGTGGATGGTCCCTGTGTCTCACGAGAGCCATGTGCTTTTCCCTCCAGGCCCTGGGGCCCGTGTACAGAGTGGCCATGAACGGTCTGGGTGCGCAGTTCCTAAAGTTCCATTGAAGGCACATGCTGCCATCCCCTTTCCGATCCCCTTTGTAGGGCAAAAAATCCCAGACATTTTTTGCCTTTTAAAAAAGCTGATGCTGGCGATTTAACATGTGAAAACAAGGACATGTCTGGTAAAAAAGGTATGTACAATAACCTTACCCAAGCCCCAGCACAGACCTTTCTCACCCCGGCCTCGCTGCCTGGCTCCGCCGTCGCCTTGCTCTCTCACTGCCCAGCTCTGCCACTGCCTTGCTATGTCTCTTGCTGCCCCTGGTAGGTCCTGCACACGCGTCAACGTGGCCTGGCTCAGTGAGGC